AAGTGGATATTATCTTCAGAAAGCAGCTCATGGTGTGCTCTTGGGAGTTTTCTTGAAGGAGGGACAAGATGTCCTGGACCCAAGATGATGCAATACATTGACAGGAATTGTCTTTTGTCTTGAACAGGCGTGTTTGAATTTTCCAGCAGCATGACTGGCTCTGGGGGATGTCAGACAGCAAGCAGCAGGGCCCAGGGGAAAGAGCAGAGCAGATGCTCCTGTGATGTCGGGTTGCAATGGCGAACTTCTCACTGTATCCTGTAGGTTCAACCAACAGACCTGGGGCTCAGCAGTCGGCTAGTACCAACCTCTACAGTTATCACCTGATTCCAAACAGACAAGCCCAGGACGTGTTTGAACAAATCAGATGCTTTTCCAATGAACACTGGGTGGCTTTTGTCTTTAGAAGCCCTATCCTTGCCTTTAGTCTCGGAGACAATCAAACAGGGGTTGTTTCTTCTGGATTCTACTTCTTAGGGCCGCGCTGTCCAGCAGAACTTTCCGTGATCTGCCCTGTCCAGCACGGTAGCCGCTCCCCGTGCGACTGTCGGGCATGTGAAGTGTGGCTGTTGCAACCGAGGAATTAAATTTTTAGTTGGATTCAACTTCAAGTTATTGAAACCGAAACACCCCGTGACTAGTGGTTGGTCAGGGCAGTCATAGGTGAGTGAGTTCTCATTGCTTTAAACGAATTCTAAGGTGTTCTTTGTAACCTAACACACGGGAAGCCTCAGACTCTTAATTTTCTTTTATCAGCATGATGCGATATGGTGTTAGGTGCCAATAAACTTCCCCCTGCACAATTGTGGACAGCCTCCAACTTCACATTTCATGTTATTTTTACCATGAGTACTAACTCCCGCCTTCTGGGAAGAACCCTGCGGCAGCAGTTGGTTTCATTCAAACAAGTCCATAGAATCCAGGAAGGAAGAGGAAAAAAGACGGGGAGAGAGAACAGAGTCTGACAGGTCTGGAGAAAGGGCAGTTTTATACACAGGGGACAGCCGAAGTCACGGTAGGAAAGCTGGCTCAGCAGCACGTGGTGAGGGCTTTGAGGGCTGAAGGCAGGACCCTGGGGGAGGCACCGTGGATTTACCACGAGATGAGCAAAGCCAAGCTTCAAGGCCCCTTCTATGCATAACCCTCTTCTCAATAAATATTTACTTTCATCCTTAATTTCAGTAATGTTGTATTGTTTATCTTAAAGGGAGCCCCCTGGGGCCGGGGAGGGCATAGCTCAGTGTACAGCATATGCTCAGTACGCACAAGGTCCTGAGCTCAGTCCCCAGTGCCTCCATTAAAAACAAACAAAGAAATACATTTAAAAAATAAATAAACAACCTTTTTTTAATTTTAAAAAGAAGAGAGCCCCCGAAGTTGTATAAACTTCAGTTTCCATCAAACTCGGATTCCTGATGAGGATGGACCTGGGAAGAGAAACCCACAGGATGGGCTGGTCGGAAATAGAAAAAAGAGAAAAACGTTGTCTCGGCAGCCAAGAAAGGAGAGGCTTGAAAAGAAGGCAGCCACACGGGCTCCGCCCCGGAGCTCAGGACAGGGAGTGGGACACAGCCTTCTGGTCTTGGTGCTCTGCACACCCTTCAAGTCAAGGGACAGCTCTTTTCTCTGCCTGGAGGGCAGTGAGAAAGGCTGCAAGCAATGCCGGGAGTTGCAGGAGGCCGCACCTGGCCGCCTTTACTTCCTCCGGGAGCAAAAAGATGCAGGTGTCTGCTGGAGAAATAGACATGGGGGCAGGAGCGTGAGGAGGAGGCGGAGGCTTGAATGGCCTTGGGATGCCATTCCCGGAGAGGGGACTGGCTGGAGCGAGGAACAGAGTGCCTGTGAACTTCCCGGGACCTTCACGCTTCTGTGAGTGAGGTGGGATGAGAATACCGGGGAGCTCTCTCCCAGCCTTCCGTCTTGATTTTATGGGAGAAGAGCCCAGCCATGGGGCAGAACTTCTCACTCCCGCTTGCTCAGTGGAATCACTGGTCTGCTCCACACCCTGAGATTCTTTTTTTTTAATCTTCCAGTAACACATAATAATCACATTTATTCTTTTGCACAGCTGCAGATCTGCCAGGACTATCGAAAAATAAAAAGATTTCTGAGCAGACGGAAAGAGAACTGTCAAAATCCAGTACCCACCAGACACGAAAGAACAGTTTCAACTGAAATCAAGACCACAACCTCAGCGATCTTCTCCCAAGGAAATAAAGACTGAGAAGTTGGCGTTAATCATTGATTACAATTAGTTATAACCAACTGAACTAAAGTAGTTCCGCTTTCACACATGGATGTAAAATCCTGGAGCTCAGTTCCGGGAAGCCTCTCTCTTTTATCTCCTCTTTAGAACATCCCCAACATTGTGTAGGGACTGGAGCCCTGAATAATGACTCTGGAAACGTGAGCCCTTTGGCCAAGTCAGCCACTAGATCCAGAATTCTAGGGGCGTCTACAAAGTACAGGACTTTTCTAAACCATGGATACCTGGGAAGACTTTTAGACCCCTCCCTCGGGACTCCTGGTGTTCTCTTTTGCAGACAAACTGAAGACTGCACCCAGAGATTCTGATTGCACTGGTGTGGGGTGAGGTCTGGGCCTTGAGAATTTTTTAAGATTCCTAGGTGATTCGAATTTACAGCCAGGACTGAAAATCACTGCCTTTGTAATCCTTAGTCTACCAAGTAGATATTATATACCCAAAACATAACAATCAACAAGAGAAGTTTTTCTATGCTTAAAGTTTAGCCTAAGAAGCA